ATCGTTTCATTCCCGATCATGCATACCGAGGAGTTGTCCCCCAAGCACTTCTGTTCGATCGGAGGATCTGAAAGTAGACATGCCAGTGCTACCCCCATTTCATTTTTAGCGTCCTCAGACTGCACTTCCTCACTCTGCTCAGCCTTAGCTGATAGATCTGCCTGCCTTTCGGCGATGTCATTCTCAGGTAGCTGTAGATCAAAGAAAATCTCAAACCCCGGTACGCGCTTCCTCTCTGCATTCAGCCATGGCTCGGGGAAGCCACAGAATGGAAAATCCTCTCCCTCTCAGACGAAGCGTCCGTTTAGGGTACCCTGAATGGGTCGATACATTAACTCATATGGCTTCCCTGCCTTCTTTGCTTTGGCTCTCCCAGCCATCTCCTTGCCTTTCCTCACCCAATCTTCTTTGGTGGGCAGATAACCCAAGCCAAAGGTATGTGGGTTGTGTGGCACTTCGGCCGATATGGCAATGCCCTTCCAGCCACTTTTTCCCAGTCCCATCCCAGGGATGTGCTGAAGTTTGTTCATGAGGTACATTGATTGAGCGCTGACATACAACCCCTCTTTATCAGCCAAGATGTTCTGAACGACCCGGGCCTCGGCCAGAGTAAATCCCGATAAGAAGACATCCTCCATGCCGTGCTCGATTTCCAAGACAGTTGTAGACACCTCCGGCGGCGGATAGATTGATGAATTTCCAAAAACTATAACTACCCCCTTCCCGTGAGGGTATTTCAATATCTGGTGCAAGGTGGAAGAAACTGTCTTTACCTGGTGCAACCACGGTCGCCCCAAAAGTAGGTTAAAGGTTGCGGGAACATCCAAGACATGGAAATCGATCTCGTATTGTCCTGGACCAACCTGGGTCTGAATTTTGACAGTCCCCATCACCTCCCTGCTTGTGTTATCATACGCCCAAATCACCTGGGCAGTTGGCACGAAGTCCACGAGCTTCAACCCGATTGCATATGCCGTCCTCAACGGGCACACATTAATGGCGGATCCCGTGTCAACAAGAACCACCAGTACCCACTTGCCTCTACATTCCACAGAGATGTAGAGAGGTTTTTTGTGATTTACGCCCTCAGGCAGTAATTCTTTGTCAGAAAAGGTCAACGTCGGGGAACCTCCTCCTGGAAAAACCAATCCAACTAGCTGCTCCGGCATGGTGTCTATTGAAAGTTTGGCTTTGTCCATCGCTGAAAGAACAGCCGGTCTATGTACTCTCGAAGCCATAAGCAGTCCCCAGATGGAGATGTCTGCCTGTATCTTCTTCAATTGTTTCAGCATAGCCTCGTCTTCAAGTAACTTGTCTTTTTGCTTCTCTACCTCCCTGTCCTTCCCGGATGCCTCTGGTTGGTCTAAGTGGGGGGTTTGAAATACCGTCCGCTCCTAGTCATATGGTCAACTTCGCCAATGTACCAGGTATCGTCCGGCTGGTTAGTCCCCCAATCTTCATCTGTGTGGGCAAGACATAAATCATCGTCTTCCCACCACATTCCATCGGCAGCCGACAAACACCTGTCCGGCTCCGTTACAAAAATCTCTGTGCTCGCAGCACCTTGCATTCCTGTACTCGCAGTACATTCTGTTCTTGTACACACAGCACTCTCAACCCCCACAAGAGCTTTAGCCTTTCTGGCTCTTCCGGAATCTTCGATCCCATCTTGTTCTAACTGCTTCAACACAACCTGCTCAACATTTTATGCATTCACAATGCCCAAGTCCCAAGCGAAATTCTTAGCACTGGCACTCCCCGGCGATGCAAACTGATTTCCGGCCCTTCCGGCCACAATTGATGTCCTTGCCCCTGATGGGCCCTTTTTCAGCTGAGATTCTTCAACAATATCTGGTTGGTCGTCAAGCCACCCTGTGACCTCTGCTGACTCCTCAAAATCAAACCAGTTGACTGTCATGTCCCCTGGATCTTGTTCATTGAAAATTTGTAGGTCAGCAATGTCCCCTTCCAGAACTGCTAAATCATCTATCCTCTGATCAAGCCCATCCCCCCGTAGTACACAAATTTCTGCCCCCACCGGCAATTCCACATTTGGCCTAATCTGACCCACTGACGCAATGTAGCCACTCAGATTGTACACCTCCTCAGCAAAGCTCCCCAATTCCTCAGTCCCTGAATCCACTGTACCACTTTCCTCTGAAGTCATCCCTGTTCCATCTTCGATGGTCACCACCATTGGTTCAGGTTGGGCTTGGGAGATGTCCAACATGCACAAGTCAGTGTTGTCGGGGAGGAACACCTCCGGCTTGGGTAGGTGAGATGGGGTGATATATATGCTAGGGTCGTATGACGTGACCCTGGTCTGGATAAAGTTGATTCGTTTGGGAGGTGGAGCTTGGTTGTGTGATGGAAGAGGGTTGGTTGTGACGTTGCATTTTTCTGGAGGCACAATCACCCTGTTATCAACGAGATCCTGAATCTCGTGACGCAATCTAAAACAATGGTCGGTGTCGTGACCATGTTGTTGGTGGAAAGCGCAATACTTCACCGGGTTATGAGAGGGAGGTAGTGGATTTGGCAATGGCCGCGGCTCCAGGGGCTTCAAGTGCCCTTTTCTGATTAAAACCCCCAAAGCCTTGGACAGGGGCATATATAGTGGGGTGAAGGTTCTTTGGCCTCGGGGTGCGAATTTGGTTGTTTGTGAGTTGCTACCGGACGCACCGGTGAATGGGGTAGCTGCAAGGGCTCTTTACTTCCGAAGCTCTAGTAGTTACAGCACTGCTTGTGCCTGCATTGTTGTTTCGGTTGAAGGTTCTCCTGGGTTGCTCTTTATCTTGGTCAATCAGACCCTGTTTCATAGCATCCTGAATTTGTACTCCCATCTTGTGCAAATCTGAAAAGGTGGGGAAGGGGAGAACAATCATTTTCTACATGAGCTTAGGCTGGAGATTGAGCACAATCATCCGTATTTGATCCTTGTCAGTTGGCCTAAGGGTCATCATTGAGGCCTTGGCCCTCCACCGAGTCACAAAATCAGAGAAGCTCTCATTCGGTTCTTGCCTGGTCGTCTCAAGATCACGGGTTGTAATCTCAATCTGTGTATTATAGGAGTACTGTGTAATAAAAGCCTCGGCCATCTCATCCCAGTTCTGCTTAACTTCGTCTTCCAATTTTGCGTACCAGATGGCCGCCACACCCGACAGGGTCCGGCCAAACAATGAAAGCTTCTATAGTCTGGTGAGGCCCATCGACCTTAGTATGTTCGAAAACAAACATAGATGCACCATGGGATCCCCGGACCTGTCAAAGCGGTCGATTTGTGGCATCTTGAACCGATCTGGCAGCGTCACAACCGCGTCAGTATACCTGTCCTCAATGTCTGGAATGGACTTTAGCCCTTGGGATTTCTTGAACAACTTTTCAAGCTTGCTCAACTTCAACGCTGTGGGGTCCACCTCGAACTCGAAGGGGGAATCCTGTAGATTGATAGGCGTGGGTGCCTTGGATAGTTGAGGTAGAATTGGGGGCGGAGCTGGCCCCGTTGGGATGTCTGTATCCTCCTGGACATTTTGGACATTCGCCATCTCCCCAGGTACTGAAACTCTCGGTGGGGGAGGAGCTTGGTGTGAGGCAGATGTTCCGGCTTGCTGCTGTAGCCAGGTAATTAGCTCTGCCTGCGGGGTCATGACCACAGCCTGCTGTTTGGCAAATTCCGCTTGACGAACAGCGTCTTCTTGTATGGCCTTCATACTCTCCTGGAGTTGGCGTACCATTTCTTCCATTCCTGCCATACTGCTCTGATTTGACTGAACTATCGGCATATCTGTCTCTAAAGTAGCCTCGGGAATCCCAACCTAACTGTTTAAAGACCACTGATCTGGCAATCTCGGTACCGATACACTGTGTCTTCTCGACCTCCGCCTGACAACCGGGGGTAAAGAGCAGAACACTGGTTGTCCGTCCCCCAGATTCTCAGATCGATGGAGTCTGCGACCTCTTGTCCAGAGTGCTTGGGGAATATCTACTTGGTCGGAAGCTATTGTGCTAAACTACCTAGCAAAAAGATAAATAAAGAAATAATAAGGAAATAAACAACCAGAAAACGGATAGCATAACGGCTTAAATAAACACAACACACAATTGGGTATAACAACACGCAATTGATAAACTGAATACACTATTCTCAAACACTGATCATTGTTCCCAAAGCACTGCCCCCAAAACTGAATCTGATACCCGCAGATAACTGGTTCCCAAAATACTGAACTGGTGCCCGCAGGCCTAATACCCAAACTTGTAAACTGATACATGAATTCCTGTAGAGACGCACTCTAAAAGCACATAGCAAACAAGTGACAGCCAAAACACCCCTATGTTGGGGGAGGGTTTCCTTGTCCTATTTTGTTAGGAGCTAGGGTTTCACTACGCACGCAGCGGTTTCAAACAACCTACAATCGGGTAAGCAACCTGTCCTAGCTTGGAATGGTCACTATGGATTCCGAATGTGCACTAGGTCGAATGGTCAAAAAGGGTACCCCAGTAAAACTGGGGTTTGTGTTCCCATCGTGGCAGAGCCCGTAACCGGTCAGCCTTACGGCACGCTTCTCAAAGCGAGCCTCCGGTAAACTGTTCAGGAATAGCAGATGGCAAACACGGTGTCCTAGGCGCACCAATGCAAATGCAATGCAAAAAAACACATAAGTGTAATCAAAACAAGATATCATGAGTTCGAGTCAAGCTCTCTAACTCCCCAGCGAGTCGCCAGAAACCGTAGACGTCCCCGAACGTCCCGGGAGAAATCCCGTTTTGTTCATTAGGCTCACTACAGTTCTGAATCTAATCTCACAAAGTGCAATGCAAGATCGATAAATCACCAAAGAGTCAAAATCTGGCAAATCGTTTTTTGAAAAACTGATTTTTAGAAAGAAGTGCCAAACATGGACTGCTTTGCCAGATACAGAGTCGCCACCTACATATTTTATTTTGGGGGAATTTAGGAAACCCTGACTCGTGCCCAAGGCCACATGTTCGTCATCACCAAAGTTGCCTCGGCTCGGGAACTTGGGTACGATTGGGGAAGGTCACTTCGTGAGCACCCCTGCTCGCCCGATCAAAGATCGGCCTCTACTAGCCATGATATCAAGTTTTGAAAACATTATGTGCTCTTATTCTGGTTTATTAGCCTAGGATTACTATGTGATGCACGCAGCATACAAGTATAAACTGAATTGCCTAAGTTGGAACAAAGCATCGCATATCCGTTTGTTTTAAAAATGGATTGAAGTTTGCTGCTCGCAAATAGGCTAAAACACGGGTTTCGACGAATTATTCCAATTCAAACAACCCAACCTTCACCCACAGGCATTCAGGCAGTTATATCATATAAGCACATAGCCTCATGGTAAGCATGCTATTATGGCAGTCACTCACACACATGCAAGGATGCTAAAGCATAAACACTTACCGAGTACTCCGAGCCAAAGAAAGAAGCTAATTAGAAATCATGCATGAATCCTAACTATGCTAAGAATGCCTAATGCAACACATGCAAAAATGCAACTACAATAGGCTCGGCTATTCTAAGATGGCATATGAGATGCAGTAATCGATACATGTATTCAACTTGGAGTTGAAATACAATGCAGTTAGCATGATGCGCCGAGCCCGGTGCATGCAATACAGATGAATGAATGCAAACAAGCAAACATATAGATGTTAATTGAAACATGCCCTAAAACTAACCATCATAAGCTGGTAAATAAAAGGGAGAAAGACGTGGGATTAGAAGACATGCATCACACACACACACACACTTATTACAAAGTTCGCCCTCTCGCGGAGGGTCCGAATAAATAATACAGAACCAACTAGCTAATCTAAGCTAATTAAACCAGTTATTACACTACCGAAATGAATAAGGAATTACAGCTAAATATTACATAACATTAATTAATTAACAAATTAAACTAAGGAAGCAAATAAATTTGCATGCAATGCTACATGAAACAGACTGTCTCAGCTCTACTCGAAACGATGAAGGATGCATGCATGCTCGAGTTGCCTTGTAGGTAAATCCATCGCGATGCCCCGATTTGCCTGTGTTTGCAACTGGTCCCAGAACACTATACAAAGCTCTAGAAGGCTGCTGACCTATTTTTGCTGCTGGTTTCCGGTTTGCTGCAACAGAGAGCGAGAAAGGGGCATGGCAAAGTATTTTCAACATATGTGTGCATGACCCTCTCTCCGTCATTGCACAAGCTCTGGGGACTGTAGTCCTCGATCCTCATGCCACCAATCACGCATCTCGATGCACGATGGTCGAGGAGTCAGATTGCATGACTCGATGTAAAATGAATGCACATATAAACACAACAAGGCCTAAACTTCATCATGGGTAATCCGGAGTGTCGGCGACCAAGAATTGAGGCATGTTTCGTCACTTAGAGTACGAAACATCCCTCGTTTCTCATGTTTGGACTAAACCCTACTCCAAACACAATGCAATACACACGGCATACATGAATGCAACTCTAACATGCAACCTAAACATAATGCCACTAAATGATGCAAACATGCAAATGATGATATGTGAACATGCTACTAGCATACACAATGCTATGGAATAATCAATGGCGTACTCAATGCACACGAAAACTATATGGCATACGCAATGCACGCATAGAGACTAACAATGAAATGATCAAGGCATACACAATGCAATGGTCAATCATGCAACAACATGGACTAAATGGCATAGACAATACGAGATGGACTTAAACCAAGATAGGTGAGCCTCAGCCACACCCAAATCAGTGGCCAAACATGATAAAATTAGGGCAACAACACTTATGCAAACATGCACAATGCGAGGGACCAAACTTAAGGCACAAAGTGCAACTCCACTAAGGCATGGTAAGGATGAAATATGGCATGCAATCACATATTTTTTAGCTCTGAAATGACATGCAAGATGGCCCCGAATCATGCAAACACCTTGCACAATGCATGCTAGATGGCCCAAATACCGAAACTAGTGAAGTGGATTACACTAGAGGTATGCAAAGCAATGCACAAATGACCAAACCAGCCCCAAAAAGTCCCTATGCAGGCCCAAAACAGTAGGAAAATGGACTAAAATGATGACTCGAAAGGCATGGAAATGAAGCTCATGCAACGGCCCATAAATGAGGTATTTAAGCACAACTCTCAAACACATTTAAAGAGTGGAAAATATGGGAACATGGCATACACATAAGCTCTAAAATATGATGTTTAACGATTCCAAAACATGTCAAGGGCCTAAACAACGCATGCTAGTGGACCCGATATGGAAAGCTAGGGAGCTTAATTGAACTATGACCATATACAACGATGCACGCATGACCCAAAACACTCCAAAGAGAGCTAAGGCAGTCCAAAATATGAATAAAATTAGTTTGGATCATAGCCAAAACATCATGCAATACAAGCTAGTGAACCATGATTTACACTACAACCATATGAAGCAAATGAGAGGCCACCAAACCAGTCAAAAAAAGAATCATGGCATGCCAAATAAAGCCCAAAAACTCATTGAAACATGGTCAATGCATGCAAGAATGACAAGCTCCTTTGATAGGCTATAAAGAGGGTTGTTCTACACATGCAAGATGGACACCCAATATGGAAAAACCAGATCTAGACAGAGCTTATGCAGGTCCTAAAACTCACTGAAAAAGGCCTAAACCATGCTTTGGAAGCATGCAAGTAAGGGCTCCTTTGTAAGTCCACAAATGTTAAAAAACAAAAACAACGAGAGAGAGGGTCACCCCTCTCTGATTTTAGCTCTCAAAGTAGCATGCTAGCCACTAAAAATTCACTTGATTTCAGTAGCTAAAAGGCCAAACAAAGATTAACTCAAAGGCCTTAATGCATGGCCCAAAACAAGGCAAAATGAAGCATGCAAGGGGGTAGATGACCCTCAACAACAAAATGACCTTAAACAAACATAAAAAGGACCTCAAAACAAGACTTTTTCCAGTTGATGACAAAGCTCAAATATGCTTGCAAGTATGACTAAAAGATGGAGCAAAATAAAGCTTAAAAGAGGGAATAGTGTGTTACCCTTGAAGCTCAGCAAGACAGCACAACTCTGAATCAAAAACACAGCCCTCAACCTCTAAAAACAAGCTCCAAGAGCCTCCAAGCAAGGGTGGAAGTGTGTGGCTATGAAGTGGTGTGCAAAGAGGCCAAGAAACTCACTCTTTTTTAAGCCTAAAAGGAGAGACAAAGAGAGATATGTGATGTATGCCTAAGACCAATTTCTCAACCCTCTACAAGGAATGGGAGGCCTCCCTTTATAGAGCAAAGGGGCCAAATCTTCTCCTAGAAGCCAAAAACCAAGGGCAAAGATCCTCCATACACGTGCATGGAGGATCCAGTCTGTGCCCTCCAACTGGCATAACTGGAAAGCACTCAAAGAGACAAGACTGAGGGAGGCAGGCTGACCAATTCAGGTGGTCGACCGACCACTTGCCCTGGTCGGCCAACCAGGGTCAAAAGGGTTAGGTGGTCAGTGGCCTCCCAGGGTGGTCTCCACATGAAATGCAAGCAAGTGGTGGTATGGGAGACCAGCAATTGTGGCCCAAAAGTGAGGGAGACCAGTTACCTGACAAGAAAAT